ATTGCGTAAAGTCGATCCGATACAATTTATACCTGATGAAAGTATAATCACTTGGTCCAATCGAGATTTGTAAATATCAATACTCACATTCTGTTTGTAATATTTTTCATACATTCATACTTCACTAACTTGTATACATATTAACGTAATTATAGATGAAACTGTCAGTTTAAACACGTCTCATTCACTTATTCTTTTACAATCAGCTGCGATTCGTTAAAGCTGTCGCTAAAATTTTGACTTATACGCATAGTTTGTTACTTGTCTTCTCGAGAAAGAAAAATCAAACGATCGAGCAAGTTGAATGTGAAGATAGAGAATAAAGTTGATCGATGCTCCTGAATGATTTACATATCAAACAATGAGTGTTATCAGCGAACTGTTTGCCGAAGAATTACCTCAATGTATCTGCGCGATAAGAATCACAGACAAATAGATTCGAATTTTGTAACGAGAAAAAAAAAATTGGTCAAAACTGGCTCATTAATCCACAGACTAGCGCAAAATTTAATTGTTTGTTACTTGAAAAATTCTCTTTATTCACGCATCTTTTTATAATCCAAATTTCTCAGCTGAGTTCCAAAATTTCCCAAGTTAGATTTATCTTCTGTATCTTTGAGCGAAAAATTCCTAGATTTTTAAGTTTATTCTAAATTTGAATTTTACAGCGATATTTACTGGAAAAAAGTATACATTACAGAATATATATTTTAAAATTTGCAATTTTTTGAAACGTCCAAAAAAGAAGACATCTTAACCGCTGTCTTCTTTTTTCTTAGTTTAAATTTAGAAAAAAAAAAAAACTTTTTATATAAAAATAGTAAAAACGAATCAGTAGTCATTGAATAAATTCTTTACATGAATCCAAGGGCTCAACGTTCGCTTGGCCTACTGATTGCGTGCGTCACGTTGCGGATTCGTAATATGCCTTTTCCTCGCCGTTGAAGTTCAAAGAACAAAGTATACACTGAGAATGGTAACGTGGTTGATAGAAATGAGGAAGCTGCGCGACAATAAGGCAACATCTGGGGCCTTGATTACTCATTTAGTACATGAAAGATCAGTCAAATGTAGCGAGAAATTTTCTTTCAATTGATTCTTGACCCGACCGCGATTAATTTTAATTCCAGTTAATCGTACGAAAGAAATTCGTCCTGGTCTTTTGAAACGGAAAGATTAATGGAAAAATACCGACGATTCGAACTATCGAATGAAATTCTAATAGAGACACGTGACTGAATATTTCGTTTCGAAAATATTTTGTTCTCTCAATACTCAAAGTTCATACACAGAGAATATAAATATTTTTATACTTATCTAAGGATTTCTTTCCTATTTTTGTTGGAAGCAAAACGTCTTCTCTTTTGATGAAATCTTTTTTAAAAAAACACGAATAGTGAATTTTTCAATATTAATCGTTCAATTGGAGCTTTAATTACAATTATAATTTTCAATTGAAAATATTAACACTTTCAGTCTTATACTGCCATTTACAAGTGTAAATGAATATGACTGTTTTGTATTAATCTCATTATTTATAAAATTATATTGATTTCATTCTGCGTGTCTCTTCAACAAAACCCATTCGTACACGTTCGACTCTCATTCGCACAAACTTCATTGGCCGTACACATGCATCCAAAGATTTGCTATGAATCAACACCATGTATCACCGTCTGATATACGGATTAACAGTGAACGTGTCAAAAGAAATCATTTATATTTGTACTTACTCGAAAATGTTATTTCTTTTGAAACACTAACAATAAGATTAATTGTTTTTTTTTTTTTTTTTTTTTTTTTTTTTTAAACACATGGCTCAGAGTAGCAAATTTCATACGTTATCGTACGTTCGTCGTATGTACTGTGTTTCGTGTAATACATCATAATGCTCGGTGTAGCAGTATCAATTTAATCAAACGCTCGATATCTTTCCATTCCAGGGAAAGTCTCCTCCATTCGGGATTCAAGCGACGCTGAAACTAATTTGAAGAAATCCGATTTTCCTATCCGCCGCTTGTCTCTGCTAATAGCTCAATTTCAACAAAACGTTTCGCGACAAAACATAGTGGAAGCGCAGAGTTGCTCACTAAATTGCTTGCCATTTATCGCTTTTTCCTATCCACGTACTATTAAAAAACTTTAAATTTGTCCATTTAATTGAAATCGAATACGTGTAATTGCAAAAGTTTGAATTTACAATAATTGAGTAAGAAAGAAATCATCCGAGCAACAGTACTAAGATAATAACTGAGTGAAATGTAGCGGATGACTCAGCTAACCAACAATTTTCCGTAGAAATAATCGTTGATCGATCAGTGGCATGGGATGCAGTATAGATAATGGTAGTCGGCAGATAATGAAGCCACAACACGATTGAACAACAAAAGTACTGCGATGAACGTAAGACTCTCGTGAACTGTACATTTTGTATTCGTTTCTGTCAATTTTTCGTTCACATCATTTCCAAGTGATTTTAGAAGCAGGTTGAAGTGTTTTAATCATTCTTAGAGGGAATATCATACACGTATAGTGATGCACGATACGGCTTTCGTGAAGATTTATACTTAATTTCAAAGAAATATCGTGTCATAACAACGAGAGTTAGGTTCTGATATCGAATTCAGATTGAAAGAGTTTTTAGATGATTAACGAATGATTTTGGAAATTCATCGTCGTGGGAAAGATTATTTAAAATTAGCGCGAAAAGGCTTCCATATTATTTATAGCATTGTAATATAATATTTTATATCTAATACATTTGACGAAATTTCAATAGAACTATTTGTATTATGATTGATACGATATATTATTTCATGTTTCTATTATATTCTAACATGAAATAGTAGTAACGATAATGCCTCTCAACACATTTATATATATATTTTTATTCGTAGTAATTTACTTTGCAAATTTATTCATTTTAAATTTTCGTGCGTCATTATTTAATAATTTTATGTTCCAGCAAACAGTGTTGTGTCCAATTGAATTAATATTAAATTAAATATGAAATACAATTGTCATCATCGTTACTACTTCGTTTGATATTTTAGTATCTATAAAATCACGAACAACTGAGTCTAAACGCCATTCTTATTACCATCATCATTATTACATAGATTTTTGCAAACGTCGACAGAGTTGTTCCCAACAAGATTACAATATTGTAATCATTGCTCTCATCGTCGCGAACAAATACAACTGTCATTGCCGTTATTATTTCGTCTGATATTCTAGCATGCAATTAAATTGTACCATTCACACGTGTCACAGGAACACATAAACGAGAAAGTGAAAGACGTGTTCTTATTGAACGAACGGGTCTTTGGGATATGCGACGCGTGGCCCTTAAGGAAAACGTACGCGAGATTCGTCTTGTACATGTCCTATCTCAGTGTACACATGGTCATAATGTACATGGACTTAATCGAGGCGTTTGGCAATCTCGAATCAATGGTGGAGAACATTTTAGACACGACCATTGCCACGGCTACCTATGTCTTGTTATTTTTACTACGATTCAACAAACTGATCGAACGGACGATCGTCACTGTGAAGCAAGAAATAACCACGTGCAAGTTCGAAACATTGGAGGAGATGCGCCTGTACTTCGCGTATCACAAGATTTCAGATAAGTTTGGTAGATACGCTGTTTCAACGAGCTCCGTGATAGCAGTTCTCTGGTATCTCACACCTATGCTGCATCTGTTGAAGTCTCGTTCAGGTATTTAACTTAATCGTTACGAGTACTGATGAAATAGAATCAATGGTTTTGTTTCGTAACGACATTGTCGTGTATATAAAGATACACTTGATAGGAATGAGAGTAAAGCTGATGACATAATCGGATAGAAGGTGATCTTTAGATGCGAAAAAGGAGAAGACAGTCAAAAATTATTTGGAGTTTAATTTATTCAAAAAAAAAATCACTTCAGGTGTGTTAAACCTTTCTTTTCGATTTATTTTTCCCATGTATAATTATCTCCTTCTCGATTGTATCATTGTGTCAATGCATCATTGCCTCGATTGTGTAATAATCGAATGAAACAGCAAATGCAAATGAGCATAAAAGAAAACGGAACAATTTCGTCCATGTGATGTTATTTCAGAGCAAGATAACGGATCATCGAGTGACTATAAATTGCCTTTTCGTGTTCACGCTTTCCTCGATTATCGGAACGACTTGCAGAACTTCGTTATCATGTATCTGTACCAGTTGCCGTTCATGTTCATAGGATTGAGCCATACAACCTCCGTCAGTATATTAGTCAATCTGGTGTTACACATCTGTGGTAAACTCTCAATATTATCGCATCGCATACGAAATATCACCACGAATGTAAATGTTCATTTAGACAGTATGATTGAAGAATTCATGGCCGCGCATATAAAACTGATACGGTGAGTATTTGAGCATTTTATGTCGATGTCTGATTCACTGTTCCCAATTTCAATATGCTTAAATATGAATAGTTAACAATTAAATGAAATTAAATGAAATTAAATACTTCGAACTGAATAAATGTATCTCGAAGGCAAAAGCAGGTAAATGTAATTGAAGAAAAGATATAATAAGAAGTTTAGGATGAGACACACATAAATAAGACCTGAATATCTTCGTTGTTTCTAGAGATGTGAGTTATTAATTTTGTTAGTAAAAGTTATTAATTAATTCAGTAAAAGTTATTAATAAAAATTGCTACTCAGTCACCAGATTCCAAAGTCACCTCCACTTTTTTTTCACAATAGAATCATATATTATTTTATTCGCAGCTCGACGCATATTCTCTATAAAGACTATTAGTTAGGAAATATTTTATATATTTTTGCAGAGTTCATAAATAATTTAACTTTAATATTATTTACGTCGGAAACGTATTAGTTTTAAAGATGTTTTAAATGCTGATCCTGCAAAATTTATCGAACGAAAGAGAAGGAAAGACAGGGAGAGTATTCTCACGTTCATGATGCCCTTGTCCTTTTCTTCAAGTTTCTAAAAGCAACGAAGATACTTAGGTACTCCATCCTGTATATAACATTCAGATAAATCGAAATTTATAATATCTATAATATATATATACAACTAATATCTTATCAGTTGTATATTACTAATAATAATTATATTTATATTGCTAGTAATAATTATATTAATTTATATTACTGATAATAATTGTTATTTTGATCTATTGACACATTAATATTTAAAATCTCATATAGAACAGTGAACTCCATCAATTCAGCCTTCCAAATTTTCCTTCTGTTGGAACTGTCGCAAACAAGCATTAGAATGGGCCTCCTCATATACATGATGCTTCTAGTACGTTCATCCAATCACACTTATCGTTTACATTGTCGATCGTACAGTACTTGTCATCTCACAATCAGCGAAATCACAGCCACAGAATCGAAGAGTTTTCAATTTAGAATTTTCGAATCTAGAAATTTTCAGACAGGCTCGCGTACACATTTTATTATAGATCGGCGTAGAGGTACAATCTGTACGATACAAATATTTCCGATATTTCAATTCAAAATGCGAATCTCCCCCCCCCCCCTCTCAGATTCTAATACGAGCTGATTTTCAATTTTCAGAATCCATCGAGAAGTTTCATGGACACTGTGACCTACAGTTTATACATTTCGATAGTCGTGTCATTGTTATATCTATACTCCTTCATAGGTGAACAATTGTCGAACGAAGTATCTATCATTTTCATTAGCGTGCAAAGATCCTCGATCAGATAGATCTTCGCGTTTACGACGTGGAGAATAACTCTTAACGGAATTGCAATGATCTTGGCCAAAAGGATTCTTAGTAAACTGAAGAATGTTAATTTATTATCATTAAGTAGAATAAGCGTCGGATTGTGTTGCGATTGTCAGACACCTCGACTCGATGACAAAATTGTTTGCAATTTTGTCGAACCTCATTCGAGGTTCTCCATCAGATTTTTTTCAATCGTCAGTATTAATCTTCAGTTTTTCTTTCTCTCTCTTCATTTTAAATTACCTTGTAACTACATTGTATTTTACCTTCAATTACGATCGTGTGCTCGTGACACGTTCGAGCAGAAATTATAGAGTTAAACGAATGCATATATGCGCATAAGTAAGTATTTATTTCTTACAATACGTAATCTAACTAATCCCTCTGATATCGATCCTCGAAAGGGAAATCGTAACATCTGTCTGCTTGAATACTTTTGCACGCATTTTTCACATTTTTTCAAACGATCGTACGAAAGAGACGAAAGCATGTGATTAAAATTCATATTCAGTCCACGAAAGTGTGCGAGGCGTTCTACTTTACGGATTGGAACAATCTTTCGGTCCGCGATCAAAAGCTATTTCTTCTGGTTATGTCCGGACGGCGAACTTTGCACGTCACTGCTGGAAAGTTTTACATCTTCTCGTTACAAGGCTTTATCGGTGTAAGCAAATATTAAAATACGTATATACACGTTCGTACAGTTGTGCCTGTCTTTGTGTTAATTCTTCAAGTCTCAAGACGTGTGCTCAATAATTTTGTACGTAGTGTCACAATACAATTTGTTTAGGATCGATTCTAGATGTTAAAACAGCGAGAAATTCTTATTGCCGTTTGAGACTTATTTTTCAAATTGTAATTGCAAATTCGATTAAACAACAGCATTACAAATGCTAAATGATGTTAAGAAATATATTCCAAATTTTCGTTGCAAATTCATATTTCCGAGAGTATAATTAGAGAAATAGAATATTTCGAATAATTAAGATATTTAATTTAAATTATATATATATATA